TACAACACTCCTGAATGAAGATCACAACAGAGAGTGGAGATGCAATGTTACTCACAGAGATCAAGTCAAGAGCTCAGTCACATACACTGTCAAGAGTTCAGGTGAGAAAACAAGCTCATCAATCAGTTTTAGAGCCTCATCATGTCAGTAACATTAAGGACTTTTAGTGTCACTGAAGCAGAACAAACCGAGGAACAAAAGCTTCTTTCAGTCTGACAGAAGAGAAACTCAAAGCACTGCTGCAAACTAATGAACTGCAGTCGAGTTTAACAGTCCAAAAACTGCTGCTGGGAATAATGAAGAGATTGAGACTTGACAGCTTTTTTAGCAATTATAACTTGTTATGTAATGTGATGATCAAAATTAAAATATGATTGTCATACTCTACAGTATGATTAATCTGAACTAACATTCATCATTTACAGCTCAAACTAAAACAACGACAGCAGTGATTCCAGTCCACAGCACAAACTCTCAGGATCCCTCGACTACAAACACACACAGAACTAAAGGTACATCATCAGTGTCTTCCTCACACCAGTGCTTTGCAGTGCATAATCCTAAAGTTATATTAAATAACTCGACTAGAGTTAACCAAATAAAATCTGATTGTCATATTCTACATGATGCATCTGAACTAACATTCATCTTTTACAGCTCAAGCTGATTCAACGACAGCAGTAACTTCTACACAAGGTACAGTCAAATGAACTTTCTCTGTCGTTATACTGAATCCTCTCGTGTCCAGATTAAGAAATGCATGTAATCACTTAAATTAAAAGAGTAGTTTCAATGAAATAAAGTGATGAAAATGTATGTGATGATATTAGACTCAAAATGATTAATAGATGCACACACAATTATCCATGAACTGCATACATTTTATACATATATCTTACTAACTACAAACAAATGCTTTTCAATTTGAGTCTGTGGAATTCAGGATTAAATGATTATTTATGATATATTAATGCAGAACAGAACATTTTTATTCACAAACATGTCTGTATTTGTACAAATCGCTGCACAATCATTTAATCCTGAATTCCACAGACTCAAATAGAAAGGCATTTGTTTGTGGTTAGTAAGATATATGTATAAAATGTATGCAGTACATGGATAATTGTGTGTGCATCTATTAATCATTTTGAGTCTAATATCATCCCATAAAAATGAAGTGTTATATTATTGATTTTGTAAGTCAAGTCTTAATGTTCAGTTATTTTGGACTTTTCAGAGAGTTTCTGTTATGTTGAAGTGAAGTTTTTTGGTTATAACTGTGCTGAAGAGTAGAGCTCATGGTTTGGTTGTAGATGATGACTGGTGTTTTTTTGCTTCATGTAATGAACATAGATGTGCTAATACCAGTGCAATGATAAACAGTGTTTTATTTGTTCACTGCATGTGATCTATAAGCTGCCTATTTCAACTGTAATCAGTATGATCAGTTGGTTTTGGGATTGTTGTTCTGTGAACATCTGTTGACCCGTCCTCCCCCCGTCAGACAATCATAGACGACACTCACACTTTAACTCAACCTGAACTCAAGCTCCACTCTTCACCACAGTGAAAAAAAAAAAAAAACTGACATGAACATACTAGAATCTGCTCAATATAACTTGAGCTATATAACTAAAAAAAAAAACATTGACTAAACTAAAACTAAACTAATTTTCTAACATTATCATGTAAAACAAACATATACAAGAGAGAGAACCTTTTTACTTTCAGAGCTTTTGTCCTATTTACTTCAGTTTCTCTAGTTCCAGCAACTTAATTGTGGATTGTAGGAACTACTTTTTATTTATTCATTGATTTATTGGAGTAGTTGGGAATGTGGTAAATAGATGTTGTTCATGTTTAAACACAGTAATGCTGAATGTGTCGCTCTGTATCGTCTCTCTCTCAGTGATTGTGATTGTTGTCTGCGCTTCATTCGCTCTTCTTCTTCCTGCTCTGATTCTTTGGCTGATGATTCGTAAAAAAAGAGCCAGTGAGTTTTTAAACGGTTTTAAAAGTAATGTTTTCTCGACCCTTTCAGAAATTGATTGTCATCTGCATTAGAGACTGCATTGAGTGTTTAATCGTAACTGTTCCCATGCATTATTTTTCAGCTGTCAGAAGAGCGACTGATGACTCTGTGGTGAGTTTTGTAGGTTGATCATGAGCTGTTAGTGTTCATGAGCTCCACAGAGGACTGACTCTGAAATATCACACTCTTATTACTCACATTAGATCATGACAAGTTAGTATATTTCTACTGTTTCTGCTCTAAAGCTCAGTGATAGAAATAAATAGAATGGAACCAATGACACAATCAACACTTCCGTTCATCCTGCACCCAGTGAACAATATGATTCATCTTCAATAATTTGTGTATTTTTGAGAGTTACTCTGGTAATTTTCCTGTCATGTTACAGTAGGATCTGTCATCATAACATCATGTCTGCATAATAGATTTTCACTTAAATTGCCACATGACTCCTGTTTCACCTAAATGTTTGCAGCAGCTGTGTGGTCCATCATTTACTGTACTGTGTGTTACTTTGGAGGGAGAGTAAGAGAAAAGATGAATGAGAACTAGGTCAGAGAGAAGCCAAGATCATATGAAATGGATGGAGACGGTTAAGTGATCGAGTTAAGATGAATGGAGGGAAACACCTCTGCCTTCTGTCTTCTTTCTGTCTTATCCAAAGTCTGTAAAATAATGAGCCTGCTTCACACAGTAGTGATGGATGGGCCTTTAAATGCTTGATTTGCTGTATTTTCACTGATGTTTAGCAGCAGACAGATGATGTGACTTATACTGAAGTTACTGCGTACAGTAAAAACCGAGCCAAAAAGAACAAGGTGAGCAAACACTTCTTGTCCTCTCATCGATGTCCACCTTCTCTCAACGTGACCTGTATAGCTTTTATTCTTATATAAATGTGTGGTGAATTGAGCTCAAACCTCATGCTGTAATAACTGTGGGTTGAAACAGTAACTGTGATGTTGATTCAGGTTCGCTGTGATGATAAAGTGACTTACGCTTCCATCGGAGGAGCAAAAGCTGGAGCTCAGGAAAACTGCAGTCAACTTTACGCCTCTGTGAACAAGAACCATCACAAATCAGGCAGATAATCATACAATAATCACATCAGCAGAGGAATATCAACCTTATATAATGGACTCCTAATGGTTTCATTCAGTGCCTTTATAAATACTCAGTGCCGCGTAGATTACTTACACATTATAGTCCATTACCGATTACAAATTACATGACGGGAATTGTAGTTTGTAATGTAATCTATTAAAGTACACATATTAAGTAATGTATTCTGACAAGTTTTTGATTCTTTTTAGATTACTTCATGTAATCGATAAAAAAGTAACTGTAGTCTGATTATGAGTGTTTTAAAATGTAATGTAATCTAATTACAAGTATTTAATTTTTGGAATCCGATTACGTAATTCAGATTACATATAATCAGTTTCTACCCAGCACTGTAAATACTTTCAATGTCTTTTACATGTTAAGAAACAAGCTCTGATTTATTTGTAGTTATTGGTTGTTCTGGTCAGTTTGTCGTGTTTTTTGTACAGTAGCTTTCTGTGTGTCTTTATTATTAATTCAGGCTCTGTTTGCACAAAGTCTGGAAAATAGAGGACAGTTTTACTCTCTTAGATCATTCTCATTAAATCATTGATTATCTCAAGTGATTAATTAACTGTCAGCTTGCACTAATTATGAGAGCAGGCAAAGCTACTCTATATGATGATGTAAGCGTTTATCACAATATAACAGGAATGATAATTTGGTGTTTGAACCGTTTGAGCAGCTGCTTTCAGCAATGCTTGTAATCTTATATTTTATTTGTCAATAATAAAATAGCCTGTGTCAAAACTGTATATTTATGGTGAAATATATTTTCCATCATTACAAATATTTCAAACATTTACAGACACATGCGATGGATTTTGACAGTTTCTAGATGTGAGTTTGTACAAATCGGTTCTTTAATGGTTGCATTAATGATTATTTTAGTTAAGTTTAATTTTAAGGAAGAAATATTTAGCTAAATTTCATTGCCAAATAATGACAAATTTTATGATAAATTGATTTTTCATTACAAGTCTTTCAAAAGGTGTTTACACAGACTTTTAAGTGGCACCATAAATGCAGCTACACTGATTTAAGTCTCACAGTCAGTTTTAAGCTCTATGTGTTCGACTAACTAGAAAGTATCGGCTCATAAGAGTCATTTGATTGGGAATCAGGATGGGGAGATGAGGTGAAGGCCCTAGATAATAACTCGTTTAGGGGGACAAGGTTCTGCAAATGCCCCTTCCTGGTGCCGTACCTGCCATTTACCCTTATATAGTGTGTGATAATGCAACATTTATTTACCGGTACTGTGGTTCTCAACCAGGGGTCAGGGGCCCACTAGGGGGTTACATCCAGGGGGGCCTCAAGGTGACTTAAAATGATTGAAAATAAGACAAAACAGCTATTAAAATGAGCTAAAACTACAAACTAAATAAAAAAATAAAAATTTCATATTTTTATTGTGAGTAATTGTTTTAGTTTTACCATGTGTATGTGTGTAAATGAGAAGCCTATGTATATTTAACGTTGTGCATTGTCAATGTAAAGATTCTTTTAAATGTGACAATATAAGTCTACTATGTCTAAAACCAGTGTGGTCAAACTAACACACACGTTTTTATTTTATTTAAAAAAAAATGTTCCTTTCAGCCCTAATGTTTGTCTTTTATCTTCTTTGTGTTCTGGCTTTGAGTTCTAGTGTTTTCAGAGCTGTTTTTATAACCTGTTGTCAGGTTTTAATTGAGTGAGGTGTCTGTGTGCTGTACACTAAGTGTGACGTGACATGTTTTCTGCAGTGTTTTCAGAGCGGTGATCTCACTGTTGAGGTTTGGAAACATGTTACTGCTGAGTGTGGGAACTCAGTTAATTTGACCGCACGAGTTATTAAAGAAGCACACTTAAAGAAAGAAGAGAAACTGACATCTTTAACCCATGCAGAACTGATCACCTCTGAATCCAATTTGGACTGATGGGTGTGATATTTCACACATTCAGGGGGAATTTACATGACTCAATTTTCAACTAAAAATTGAAACATTTTTATGCATTTTGACCCTTCATTCAACAGTGTTTTGGGGACCTGAAATTGCAAACTTTTGAAAACCGGTTTCAAAGTGCATCATTGTATAGGGCAATCACTAATAATATGATTTAATTGCTTATCACTTTTGACCAATAGGTGGTGCTGTGTCCAAATTGTGATCAGTATAGGGTGACAATGACACACACACACAGTTTGGTGTAAACATGCCAAAGCCATGCAGAGATACAGCCTTATAATCATTTTGGCATTATGCAATCAATTTGATCAAATTTGGTGAAAATCAGACGAACAGTCTAGGAGTGTGAAAAGGCAAGTTTGACCAACTATGGCATAATCGTTATCTTTGTTCTTGGCAGGACTATCAAGACCAATGTCATGACAATAGGCAAATTTTATTAGCAGGTTTAAAAATGTAATTATATTTTTTGACCACAAGGTGGCACTCTCACCTAACATTGTGAGTACTTTCAGGGCACGGTGCTGATGACAAATACAGACTTTCAGAACAACATGCTCATAATACATAGCATTTTACAACAATATTCTACATGGTTGATGGCCAAAATGGCCGACATTTGGAAAATTTGGTATAGTTCGACTCGATATGTCGCACCAAATCGTAAGAGACCAGATTTGTGATTTTTGGACAAACTATTCAGAAGTTATAAGCACAATTATTTTTCATATCTCCTGACCATTTTGTGACACTGTCACACAAAGACACATGTTGTATCCGCTCAATATATATTAAGATGCTTTTATATCTACAGTATATATTTGAGTTTTAATGGTTTTACATGTTATCTTAGCCATTTTAATGCTTAATCATTTTAATTTGTATGTCTTTAAATGTTCATGGATCTGCGTGTCATGTGATAATCACATGACAGGAATAAGGAAGTAGACCTGTATAAAGAAATCAGCATGTCAAACAATCAGGGCCATTGACCAAACCACTGCACTAGCTGGATTGTGGAGTTATTTTATGACTCACCATTCCAGCATTTCACATATCTTGGATTATCACTTTCTTTGGACTGTATATACACCGGTGGACACTTTTACTTTGGAACTTCAACACACTAGGATTAGGGTTGGGTACCGAAACCCAGTGCCAATATGTAGTGATGGGAAACCGAGGCTTTCTGAACCGTTTGAGGATTTAATCAAATTGTGCCGAAAAAAGGTTCATTACTCAAAGCTTTTAACACAGTGCGCATTAGCGACATCTGGTGCTCATACTGCCAAAACTGGCCCGCCAGCAATAATATCTGGCCCGCCCGCAGTCAGATTATTTTGATTGCGGCTGGTTCTGAAATAGATCTGTCATGACAGCGACAGTTACTCACAATCACTCCGTCTTTAGTGATTTTGCCTTCAAAATAAAAGTACGACATCGTTTTTGCAGTAATGTTTTATTTTGAGATGAATTGAGAGCTTTTAATTTTAAAAGTTCAAGAGTCTATTATATTCTTTGCAAACAGAGACAACTTAATTGCAGATAAGACACACTGGCTTTGCATTCACAAAACTAGGTAGGATGAACGCATAGTTGTCTTTTCATTCTTCTTTGTATGCCCTATTTTCGCTGTCAACTTCTTGACTCTTTGATAGTGCCATTTTCTCTTACCAGCTAGCTTAAAGGGGTCATATGATGTTGCTAAAAAGAACATTATTTTGTGTATTTGGTGTAATGAAATGTTTATGTGGTTTAAGTTTCAAAAAACACATTATGTTCTGGAACAGTGTTGTAAATACAACTTAACCACTGATTTCTAGTCGTGTCCATTTTTGGAAGGCCAAACAAAGTAGTTTCGCTTTCGCAACGAAACACAGCGTCACACACGGCGGCCTAGAGTCAGCAGAGGCCGGTGGGCTTGAGAACAGCACGGCCGGTGGATTCGACGAAGGAGCGTCCGGAGGGCTTGCAGCAACCACATATGACGACCCCGGGCTGGACTCCGCTTCGTCCACGGTGAAAGCCGATCCGGCGATCCACAGCGCAAAATTGTTGTATTTCCTCAGCAACCAGCACGGATCAGCTCCAGGCATGACGAAGCGGATATCGTCCTCTTTTGGAAGGCCAAACAAAGTAGTTTCGCTTTCACGATGAATCACACAGCGCATTCACAACATGGCGGCGGCAACAACAATACTACAGCGAGAATAAAAGTTACGCCTTCTTTCTTTGCGTGAACATTTGGGCAGCGTTATGCAAATCTTCCCACATCGTGACGTAGATATGTGGGGGGGTGTTAGAACGAGCCGTTTTAGATAGGCGTGGCTGACTCTTAATTTTTATAAAGAATATCTCTTTAGATTTGAGACTTTAGTCTTTGCAACTTTACAGATCTTCTTTATGCACAAAGAGCTTGTAACACTCCAAAGAGAAAGGAAAAATTGAAATCGCATCATATGACCCCTTTAAATGATGACTTCACTCTGCACACGACGTAATAGCGATCCTCCAGCAGGCAAAACAATTTTAAAAAATGCAGTTTAGTACGTGAGGATGCCAAGGAATAATTCTGTAAAAGTAGGCTACGTCAAATAATTATTACTATAAGTTAGGCTTTAAAATGACACACATTTATTATTCACAATATGGAAAGAGGAAATAAAACATACTTCGTTAAGAGCATGACTCAAACATGCCATTAATGGGCTTATTCAAGACTTATTTTTATCCATTCCGCATCTCCCACATACTGTATGTGTGTTTTTAGCAAGGCGGTCTGTGTTGCAAGTTGGTGAATGAAGATACTTGCAAGGTTATGTGTCACTACTCTGCTTTATTCATTTATCCAGTGTAAAACCCGGACACAAATGTGGCTTTTTGTTAATGACTGTCCTACTACAGGATTTAACACAGAGTAACAGATTACTACCAGTTACAAAAGACACTAATGGTCTGTCACAGGCAATTTTAGTTGCATTTTCCATCAATTAATTTCTTAAATTATCCTTTGACTATATATATTTTTTTTGGCCCGATGCCAAACTTGCTTGCCGATCCCTGCAATAGTGCTTTGAAAACGTCTCAGGTTACTTATGTAACCATGGTTCCCTGAGTAGGGAACGAGACACTGCGTCCTCTAGGGGTCGCTATGGGGACGCCTCATCGTGACCCGTGTCTGAAGCATACATTGAAAAAACACCAACAACACATTGGCCAGCGACAGCCCATGACGTCACTACCGGTGCGACTATTAGTATAAATAGGCGCCGGGAGAACATGTCATTCACTTCTTCGTCTGAAGCTTGAGTTCGAAGCATGGCAGGAAGCCTAGAGGACGCAGTGTCTCGTTCCCTACTCAGGGAACCATGGTTACATAAGTAACCTGAGACGTTCCCTTTCAAGGGAACTTCGAACTGCGTCCTCTAGGGGTCGCTATGGGGAACG